TACCCGCCTCACATTTTCTGAATGAAGGGATACGACCCTCGCAATTTTTGCAATTTTCCCTCTCTATTTGTGAAATTAAATATACAATTAAAAATATATATAATTTTTTTGAGTCTGAATTAAGAAAGAAAATGGTGCGTGGAGTCCCTCCGCGCGGAAGAAGTTAAACTTCGCAACCTGCGACGTTAATTGTAGAAGAATCAGCAGTCGTAGAAGGATCACTAGTTCTATTCAACGACTCTTTTTCCTGCTCCGCTCTCCTCCGTGCTCTGTAATCATGGTAATATTGTGCATTTTTCCCTCGTGGACCAGTGGAAGTGCTTGTGGTTGCCTCATCGTCTCGCCCTGGAAAATGTATTTGTATTAATAATGTATGTGACTGCATCATAATGTAATTTCAGAAGAGAAAACCTCATAATCAATTGATATTCACAAGAGACGTACCTTAACATAACCTTAAATCCGTCGCATTGTCCGTGGGATTGTTTTCAATCATTTTTTACAATTGTTATCCACTAAATTTGAAAATAAAAAATACTACCCTATTAAATTATATGTGCATCAAAACAAACTAAAAGAAATATTTATAGAAAAACAATACTTTTATTATTTTTATGCTAGTGAGAACCAAAACAATATGGAAATGAATGAGGGAAAACTGGATCCTACCACGTGATTTCCAGGTCAATAAAAATGTAGCGCTAAACGTTTAACGCAACCTTGTTGGAAGTCGCATAAGAAGTATCACTTCAAAAATTCTCTATTTCGACGAGCAAATCATCCCTTTCTCATCCCGCTGCAGAAGAAAATATGGCCCTATTGCTGACCTATAGGGAAAATTCCTGGTTGCAAAAGTCACAGCAAACAGAATGAAAAAAAAACCTCGTTAAACGAGGGATAAATAATTTACTGGTAAACAAGATATATCGATACAGGAAGGAGGAGCCCCTCTTGTGATGCCTCCGCGATTGCAGAATGCATGTATTGTTGATTCAGAATATTAACACTATGAATGAACCAGATCTCCTAAAGATTAAATATATACTTAAAAAATAACATTATCCAAAAAGAATCATAATCATGATAATAAAAGAAATGAATTTTTTTATTAGTCTAAGTAAGTATTTATATGAAAAATACGCGTCGATAATTTTTGGATGCGTAAATTTAAAATAGTTCTTCGAATAATAAATGCAGTAAGCAGCATAAATATCGATGCTATTTGGATAGTATTCCCCATCGAACAAATTACCAAAAGTCATTCCTAAAATATATCGAAAAGAAACTAAATAAGAGCCTTTAACAGAAAATGAATTCACGATCTTGCATAAGACACATTAATAGAACAATCGAAAGCGATAATGTGGCCAAATCGAGAAAACCTCCAATCCTAAACATTTCCCTCTCACCTAAAGCGGACTGCTGATTGTTCGCTCCACCTTTTCAACCATCTCATCACCCCCTTACTCACTGCAACCGCCGACAAATTACCCAGTTTACGTTATTGATCGAACAATGGCTTTTCCTCTCTCATCAGTAGCCCTACCTTCGTTTCTAACACCTCTCCATCCCTTTTTCATCCCCCGCATCCCCATCCAAATCAGTGAAAATTTTACTTGGCGATTTTTTTTTCCTCACTCTCCGAATTTCGCGTTCACAGATGTTTTATTCCACTTTAACCGCTTTTTGGGGAAAGGACTCATCATTTCTAGTGGAGGCATCTTAATCAAGTAGAGATTGCAAATAATTAGGGCTCCCTTCTTTTGTACTCTAATGAGTTGTGCCTTAAAAGGACTCCTTTCAAAACGTTTTGAGGATTTGATTGGAGGCTTTTTTTTTCTACTTTTATTATTTAATTTTCTTGAAGGTTTCATTCTTCGTTGAATGAGAGCAATTGATGTCGATTAGTTGGGTTTGAACTCAAAGACGGAAATTTCTTGAAATGATTAGGATCTTCAAGGTGTTTTGAGTTTTCCAATGATGCACAAACTCATTTTTGTAATATCACGGAGAAAAGCAAATTACCTTATTTTGTCGTTAATAGTGAACTAAAAACTATTGTTCCTTTTCCTTTATGCCAACAAGAATTTAATTACAATGAAATAATGAATTCATAAAGGAACCTCATTATTGGTCTCTAAAGTATCATTGTTATGGTAACCCAATTCAACTAATTCAACCCAAATGACTATAAGTCATAAACTTTAATGTAATTACTTATTTTTTAAGTCTAATGTTTGTAATTATATGGATGAAAAAGTATAGAATATGAACTAAATCTCAAAAAATTTACTGTTACTTTCTTATTATCAATAAGAGAAAAGGAAATAACTTCATGTTGCCAATAGGCTAATACAATTTGTTTTATTTATTTTGGTTACTGAATGAAAAATAAATACCGAATTCCAATTTAATTGTTTCTTAAATTATTGAAATGTGCAAATTCTAAAAATTTAAAATTTTCTTAACTTTAAAAAGAAATCAAAGTAGCATAATTTTATCAAAATAAACAAATCAATTTACTTTCTTCGTAAATTATTTTTCACACACTCAAGAAGAGTTATTTAAATTGTCACGTCAATTCGGATCGAATTCTCGTTCATGGGACATTCCTGAAGTTCAGGCACTAATAAATTATATTAATAATTAAATATTTTAATAACTAATAATTAAATATTTTAATTTTTGTTGTTGTAAAAAACGTGATACTTTCTTCTTTTATTGATTTTTTATATTCTTTGACCATGTTAGACCATGTTGTCCCTATTCTTTGACCAAAGATCAATGTTAAATCATATTATCTTGCAAATTTGCAACATCCAGAATAAAGAGTTAAAATAGACTGTATTTTCAATCAACGTGAACCGTAATACTTACTTGCATAAAAAAACGTAAAATTTAAGTAAGATTATAATGAAGGATTAAATTAAGAAGAAATATAAACAGAAAAAAATTATCTTAAGATAATCAAATAATCCACCTAAAGATAATAAAACAGATGAATGACGATTTCATTGATTTATTGATTGATACCATCAATCTACCACACCTCTGTGATGACAACGTTAAATCCATCCTCTCTGAATGTAGGGATGGTACAAGAGCAGTGCACTCACTTGTTAAACAGGTAATTGTAATTTCTGGTAATGGTGGAAAACTCACTCGCTCATTATCCTTTTATTTTATATTGTATTTCCTAATCACTTGCTTTAATCGATATGTGGCATTCAACCAAATGCTTTTGACAAAATTTGCATCCTCAAAATAATACTCTATAATTTGACGATATATTTTGCTGGAGCAATTCTTCAGTTAGCAGTTTCATCATAGAAAATTTCGTTGATAAGCACCATTTTTTTTTACAGAAATGTAAATTATTATTTTGTCCTAAATATGGACATATAACTGCAAGTTAAAAAAAACTTCGGATAATGCTATTAAAAAAACACGCTTTTAAAACCCCAAAGTTACTTGAACAGTGACCTCGTCCAGTACACGTGTTCAGTAAACAAGTAAGTTAAATGCATCAACTTATTTACGAATATGAATCTAAATATCTCATAGTTTAAAAAAAGAATTATACATTTGTAACTGTACTTTGAAATTTTCAAAATTTTATACAATTCATGAACCATGTATTCATATGAGATAATTGTTTATAAGATTTAATTTTGAATTTCTAAATCACTCATCACATGACACTATACTCCGTCAGAATCCTGGTAATTTATAAAATTTCGGTCGTTAATAAAAACTTGAAATAAATTATTAAAAGACATTTAGGTCACAAAATAGTTTAACACTAAGACAGAAAAAGTTTTGAATTAAATTTTATTAATTTATAAAGTGCAGAATTCTAATTTGAATCAACAAATTGAAAGAAAAATTGAAGAGTTTTGCTGTAATTTTTACTCAAGTCAAAAAAATTTGACGCGACTTTACCACCCCCTTCATTCCATTCACTGAAAAGTGAATATTGCAGCAACGCTTCGTATTTATGTGATTATTTAATAATGGGTTATTCAAGGAAAATTTATCTATTTTTTTAATAGAGGACTTAATTGTATTTTTTCGCAATCGATTTCACACCTAAGCCGTGTAACCATTATGTATTTTGAAAGCTCACAAGCAATGGCTTTCTTGTAAAAAGAAAATTCAACGCAGTGTTTTTTTATTGGTGCCCTTTCAAATTTGGAAAATGAAAAGCTGCTTTTTTGGCTATCGAAAAGGTAAAAATGCTGTTCAAGATGAAGATGTATTCACGGTAAAAAAACGGTCTCTCAAAACTGTGCAAAATCGCTTTCAAGCCAACATAGTCAATTTATTTTATATCCGCCGTTGAAAAACCGACCCAATTTTGAGTTTACAACTACCGATGTTCAACTCCGTAGCCTTGAAATTTTGAACCCGATCCAGAAGACAAGGGAACTATTATATCATGTGTTGTGTAATATTTACCTTCCTGGAGGGCTATTTGATGGAAGTAACCCGCATTTGCGTTACATGGAGTAGGAAACCATGAAAACCTCCCAAGGTCAGCCTGAAGGCTAGGGAACTCTAACCCATGATCCGTCAACCACTGAGCCTATTTCACTTAAGCACTGTGATCTGTACTAGCCGGGTGCGGAATTCGTATGTGGAAGAGAGAAGCTCTTCGGCTGTCAGCAAGATTCGAACCAAATACCTCCGGGATCGTAGTGGGATACTCCATTCACATAGCTGTACATCCCAGTCCAATGAGAGTTATTAAGCAGCTTTATATAGTGGCCGCCGAAATGACACAGCATGACATACTAATTTCCAATTTCATTGGTACAAAAGGTTGCACTTTGGAAAATATGATCCCAATAATTTAATTAGGAGACCAGTAATTTTGAATTCATTTTTTGCTTGTTTCGCTATATCTAAAAACTTTTAAGCGAATGGAAAACCTTTTTACACAAAATTTATTTGAAGATAATTCATCTAGAAATACTTTTTAAGCATCATTTATTATTTTATTTGATAAATACATGACATGTTTATAGGAGACAGGTTAAGTCTCTCACAAGCGACTCCTCTCTTCCGTCTGACAAACTGGAACTAGCCAACTTTTATGCTAGATGATATCACTATATTAACTAATTAAGTCACTTAGATGTAAAGGTGACATCACTTCAAGGCCTCGTGAAACACCCACGGCTTCTTATTAAATCTTTTTCTTCATCCATATTTCTGGAGCAATCTAGTATATAGCGACATGGATGATCTGTTTTAGGTGAGAGGCATAGAGCACGCTGTATAATATTCTGTCCTTTTCTACACTCGCTACATACTCTCCCTTCCACTGGATTAGAAGAGAAATTATTCATCTTCGCATTTCATGAAAAATTATTCTGCTACATGACTGTAATTCGATTTTCCAAACAAACTAGAGATTTCAAGGTATTTCTTACATCAGAGAAAAAGTTTTCTGGCACACCTGTAATAAAAGAAAATTTCACAATGATACTTAATTTATACACCATAGAAAATATTCCTAAAATGCAAAGTTAATCAGTACCCAACGTTATAATTCTTTGTACGGTAAAATCAGTATTTATTGTAAACATTTACAGTAGATATAACATTATTGATGGTTAAGAAGAAAGTTATTGTGGTCTTCTATTTATATTAATCAAGAAAACTTTCCTAGAATAAAATTCTATAAGTTGAACAGTTCTGGAGAGACTACATTTTACAATAATATTTACCGTAAAAGTTTCCTGAATTTTATTTACTCATATAAAATTCAGAAAACGCAAGTTTTTACGGTAAACTAATAATTTGGTTCCAAATGTGTTATATTATAAAAATTCAAATTATTAAATAAACAATTTTAAAGAAAGGGAAAGTCATCGTAAAAAGCTAATTTGAGAATATAATTTAAACTAAAAGTTTACTCTTTATTCAGCGAATGTTACTTCATTGGTGAATTTTCAATTTAACAAAGAAAAAATGAAGTAAATATGTAATGCAATTTTATTCGAATTTGTAGCATGAGAGGAACATGATAAATAGTATTTCAGTGCATTGAGGAAAAATTAGCGTTTAAACATAAAAAAAATATCATTAAAATTTCTTCCTATCTTATCATTAAATTACCTATATCACTAAATTAAACAAAACCTTTCTTATTTAAAAATGTAGCATAACTTAGTGGTTAATATCTACAGACAGCTATATCATGTTTTCAGATTTAAAAACTAGATTTTTTTTTCTTCTTCAAAATATCACTTAACGTATCCTGTCACTAAGTTCTCTCTTTATTAATCAAATGAAATGTAACTAATATTAAGTAATTGCTCCAGTTGCACAGCTGGTAATAATATGATTTTAAATATAAAAGCTAAAATATGTATTTTTCAAATGCGACTTAAGGTTTGTCAAGAAATCTATCAAATGNTATTATTATATATACATATATATACATAATTATTATTATTATCACACTGACTATACAAATTATATTATTTAAAAGAAATGTAAAATTACATTGAAAAGTAATGATGTTTCGAAGTTGGGAGTGTCTCTGAAGTTTTCAAAACTACAAAAACTATTTCTCATTAAGTAATTTTTTGAGACAAAAAGTGCAATATTTCTTGATTAAAACTAACATGTCAGGGACTAAGAAAAAAGTTCGATGTATTCGAATACGCGATATAAAGTAGATGTTTGTAAAATAACGAAAACAACTACTTTCGTTTCTTGCCTTCGTAGTAAGAAACAAGCAAAGAATAACTAAACTTATTTTTATGGTAACGTTTTTACACGCAATGTTTAAGAAAAAAAAATTTTCCGATAAAATATTAAACTTTAAGCCTTTCAAAACTTATTATTCGCCTGTTCTAATGGGAAGGGTAACCGTTAACAGGGTAACCGTTGTATATTTAGTTTGATCCATATTAAATTTCAGGAAACGCAAACCATAATTTTCTTATTTTCTTTATAGCATCAATTATGTGTTTCTTTTTCTTTCAATATTCTGAGAAATAAAACACTTTTAAGTGATTAAATTTGATTTTTTTGAGAGATTAAACACTACTCTTCATCCATTGATCTGGATTTCTAAGAATCATTCCACGTCCTAAAAAATTTCAAATGAAGCAGTTTAGGAATTTTTTGGTACTTCACTGTATTTATGTTAAAAAAATCTTTGTTTTTATTAATTAAAACTAACCCTATGAACCAGAAACATCTCCATCCTGTAGGTCACTCCACGGACTTGACTCTGAGACTACTAAATATTGGAGTGCAAGAGAGCTTTTGGGGAAATGACTTCGGTCTTTCTTTCACTTCGTCATCTTATTCCTTCTGGCTTTTATTGTTCTTCTTTGTTGCGTTTAATTGTTTTCCCCACCATTGGAAATAAATAAAATTAATTAAAGTTACCATTTGGTTACATCGATGTTTCTCACTTTAGGGGTCAATAAAATATAACGTAAACACCTTACCTGGGGATCAGAAAATAATACTCATATTGCTGAAAAAGTTGAAAAGAGGCATGAGCAGTGACAATTTTCATTTTTTTATGTAAAGAAATGTAGCAAAAAAAATGGGATAAGGGACTCTTGAAAAAAATTCAAATTAGAAATAAAAGTTTAGGAAGAGGAAACTACAGAAAAGAATTTTCTTCTGCGAGTTTCAGAGGGCAAGAGTTTTAATCACAGGAGGAAAATACAAAAGATCCCAGAAGAATATTCTTCTTTAAAAATTTTATAAAATAATTTAAACATTAATTTTCTCTTATTGAAAGTTACATCGTTTATTTGAATTAATAAGAAATAAGATTAGTACCATAAAAGTCAAAGTCACTGAAAAAAACAAGGGGTGTGTTGTGACAAGGTCTGTGATTTGCTTATATTTGCTAGGAAGGGAGGGTGTGGGGAGTTCAAAAGTTCTAAAAATATGCTTTCGTTGTCTTAGAACGATCTTACCACAGCCTGTCTCCTATCTTCCAATTAGAAATGACTGCATTTTGCTTTGGCCATTTTTCCTTCCCCATTATTGGCAAATTTGTCTCCATAATTAATGCTTTTGTTAGAACTCGATAATCCTGCACATTGGAAAAAAAAGTATGGCCTGACCTACTAGAATATGGTAAAATTTACTGCACTTCTGGCTCTATGGAAACTCCAAAATCTCCTTAATTTGTACCGAAGCGCTTTGGTAATGATTTTGGTAAAGTTAACGGAAAAATATGGTTTTATAATCTGTGATAAAATTTAGTGAATGAGATAAAATTCAGTAAATTTTTCATGCTATTTTAGAGCACGGCATAAAATCATTTATTCGATTAAATTTATTTAGTTGCTTATTTTATTAAATGTATGGAATTTTTGGTAATAAGAGCTGTAATTTTAAAAACTAAAATTTTCGGTAAACCTAAATAAACAGAATAAACGGAAAAAATACCAAATGAATGGTGTAAATAAATTATGTTTTAGTTTTAGTTCCACAATTACTTAGTTGCTTTTTAACCAGAAATATCATTACCATACAGTGTGGTAATTTTACCAGAATTTTTGTGTTGTATTTGATGGAGAAAAAAAATCTAGCAAAATTACCGTACTATATGTTAATGACATTTCTAATAAAAAAAAAACACAATTCCTGTAATGGAATCAAAATATAATGAATTTATATCATTCATCAGATAGTTTCCCCCTCATATGGCGATGGTTAACCAAAAATTCAGTTTTCTGAATAAATGGTTTTTATGCCATGCTCTTAGGCATCAAGATAAAATTACGAAATTGTACCATATTTACCATATTTAGCACACTTTATAAAACAATATTTTATGGTTAATGTTACAAAAATCCTTACCAAAACGCTTCGGAAAAAAATACCGTGCATTTTGGTGTTCACATAGAACCAGAAACCATAAATTTTACCACATTCTGGTAGTTTTGACAATGGTTTTTTCTTCAGTGCACAGAAATAATATTTTATATGGTGACGTTGTTCAGTGTTATTCAATAGTAAACTAATCAACTTTTTGAAATATTATAAATATTTAGTAAATTAATTTTTCCCCTTTTTTCCTCTGATCCTGTTCTAAGAAAAAAAAACGAACTAATGTTAAAAACCTAAGTCTTTCTTTTAATTTCGCAGAATGATAAACAATTTCCTAATTTAGGACGAAAATTCAAATTTAAATTTCAGACTAATTTGTTTTTGATAATGAAACAAACCTCTCCCCCACGCAATTCCAAATAAAAACTCGTAAGATTTTTCTTTAAATGTATAATACGCAAAGAGAACGCACCAGAATGCATAAATAATTGAAAACCCACCATAATATTTGATTTCTAAAAACATATTTTGTAAATGAAACTTCGAGTACTACCAAGCCAATGTCTTTTGCACGAAAAACTGCTTCGACAATTTCTCTACCTGTCTTAAAGAACAAAAAAAATAAAATAAAAATGTAGAATTGTGAGAAAAGAAAAGAATCTTCTCTCTTAGAAACCTAACCTCTCTCTCACCCTCCATCTTTTATCTTCAAGTAAAGAAGAGCAAGAGCGAGGAGGGCGTGGCCGGGAAGCGTGTAAAAGCACTTAAAGAAGATCCGATGCGTAATTGGGCGGTTAAAAGCAGATTGAGAGAGGGCGGTACCCGGAGCACGATTGTATCCTTTTTGGGCACGCTATGGGATTTAGGCACGAAAGTGCCGACTCCAGCCCCTGGTTCTGAAATTCATTTTTTCGAAGCAATTCTCTTCTCTTGTATTCATTTTCCTTTATTTCGGGGTGTAAAAGAATTTTTGGGTATATTTCTCAAATGTGGTAATGCATGTTAGCACGAAATGGTCAGGTTTTTATTTATTTTATTTTTTAAACTACTAACTTTGAAAAAAAAGTAATTGTCTATTCTAAGAGTTCTTTTGTAGATTGTACATGTAAAAAATAAATCTATTCTATTTATGAATTTCGTATTTTTACAGCTTTCAGGTGAATCTATCAACATGCTCTACGAATAAAGGGAGAGGGAATTCATGCATTACGTAAGCACTTAACAGGAAGTAGCCATTTCCTTACTTTCGCTGACAAGGGGAAAGGAAGGGTATGAACAATGCTTACGTTAGACACTATCTAAAGAATCAAAATAAGAAATTTTATAAAAACATCAAAGTTTGTAAAATTTTAAATGTAGAAAAGTTTCAGAGGTCAAAAGTTTTGGAACACACAAGATTCCAAAGAATATTTCATAAAAATGGATGAAAATGTAAACTTTGTTGATACAATAAATATAAGTATTAAGTTAATAAATATATTATTTTGATTATGAGAAACATAGGAATAACTAAATTTAGTAATTATAGCTGAAATAATGCTAAATGATAGCTTTTTACTTAAATTAGTCCTAAAACTAGATTGCTACAGTAAAAGTCAAAGCAAACACCAGGGATTGCAACTTTTTTACATAAGATAAGGTGTT